TGTATGTGTGTGTGTGTGTATGCGCGTGTGCATGTGTGTGTGCATGTCAGTGTGTATGTGTTAGTGTATGCGTGTGTGTGTGTGTGTATGTGTGTGTGTGTGTGTGTGTGTGTATGTGTGTGTGTGTTAGTGTATGAGTGTGTGTGTGTGTGCATATGTGTTACTGTATGCGTGTGTGTGTATGTTTGTGGGTATGTGTGTGCATGCGTGAGTGTGGGAGTACTCACCGTGAACTCCCCGGTGTGAGGGTCAAATCCGACGTGCACAGTGTGCTCAAAGTTGGACGGGTGGGAGATGACAGGTTTGTCATTGGTGAGCCGCACCATCCTGCCACCTGAGGGACACACAGACAGACACAAAATAACGCTTTGTTTCAGCAAGTAAGAAATGATGAAATGCTACAGGTTTAACGTCCTCGTGAGAAAAAAAAAAAGCATCATTGAAAAGAAACAGAAGAAGTAGCATTTACCAACCACAATTGCACATTCTCTCCCCCCACCCTTTTCCAATTTAGAAAAACAAAATAGGCCACCCATCCCAAAATAAAAAGACCATACCAGTGGAATAATCTAACCAGTTGCAAAGTTGTTTTCAAAATAAGAAAAGAAAAAGAACCCCAACCCCCCCCCCCCACAAAGCCCTTACCACTGTTACTACTCCTCCCGCCACCGCTGCGCCGCCCGAGGCGACTGGTCAAGGCCTGGAGACCGCTGGGCATTCTGAAGGATGGACTGACGTCACAAGGACCAACGGTCAAGCCAATGACATGTGTTGGTGTATCACGGAGAAGGGCAACAGCGGTGATGCAACAAGACCTATGTACACGGCAACTTTTGTGTCAGGCGACTATAATTTCACAAGGCGACACTCCTATACACTGTACACGACAACTTCTGCACAAATGAACTCCTGCATAAGGCGACTCTCTTGTACAAGACAACTTCTGCAGAAGGCAAGTCCTGCACAAGGCAACACTACTGTACACGGCAATTCCTTGTAAGGCAACTCCTGCACAAGGCGACACTCTTCTACAGGGCAATACTCCAGTACACATCAATTCCTTGTAAGGCGACTCCTGCACAAGGCGACACTCTTCTACAGGGCAATACTCCTGTACACGGCAATTCCTTGTAAGGCGACTCCTGCACAAGGCGACACTCTTCTACAGGGCAATACTCCTGTACACGGCAATTCCTTGTAAGGCGACTCCTGCACAAGGCGACACTTTTGTACAAGGCAACTCCTGTACAAAGCGACTCCAACACACGACAAATCCGGTTCAAGGAACTCCTGCACACGAACAACTCCGGTAAATGCGACTCCTGCACACGAAAACTTCTGTATTAAACTATACTCCTGCACAGAGCGACAACCACGCCGCCGTCAACAATTAATCCAAGAGTGTCTCAGACTTCTGCCCGCCATGTCTGCACCCGCCGGCGACACTTTGCTGTACCCCCAAAGTAGACAAGTCACAACTCCTCTACACGTTCCAACATCAGAGCTCACAACACAACAAATCATTTCCCCGCACTCAAAGCACAGGCGTTTTAGGCACCCGCCTGACGCACTATCCACACATTACTCCCACAGTAATTCACGAAATATAGACCCGTACGGCACAAACAATATCTTTTGGTGTCATAGAAGAGAGCCAACTGCATACTGGTCGAAGCACCAATCCGTAGCCACTTCAAGTTCAAGAAAATCGGGGGATTTTTGTGTTGTTGTTTTTTTTGTTTGTGTGTTGTTGTTTTTTTTTTTTGTAGTTTAAAAAAAATTTATTATAGGTGTAAAAGTTCTAAGGCGCTCATCTCTGCAAAAAGGTCAGAAAACATTTTAATTTTTCCGTGACATACTCCACTGAACAAAATAAAATTGCACGCCTCATTTTTTTTTTTTAATGCGTGGTTTTAGTTTAGCACGCTCTCTCCTCAAAGAAAGTATGGTTGAGACGATACCTCGATACTACACACTGCTCAGTTGGCGCGCGAGTGACAAATAATGACAACGTTATTGTTTTCTTCATCCATACATGAAACTCTTCGTAATAGTTTGAGTAAAGAGAGGCACATCGACACCATAACGGTCATTTTGTGCTGAGAATGAGTAAAAAAGACGAACAGAATCAAAAAGGGAAAGAAAAGAAGAAGGACCTACCTGTGGCGCCCTCTAATCACTCTCACTACTGTATTCCTTTTTAGTTTTAGTAGAGGGTTTTACGGCGCTCGCAACACAATAAGATCATATAAGTGCCGAAGATCAGAGGTGTTACAAGAGCGTAACAAACACAAAAAAGAAGGAGAGATAAGGACGATAGATGTTTGATAGAAAAGAAGAAGCAAACCACACCAGAGCACCCGCCAACCACCCACGTTTCCCTCATCCATAAATGAAACTCTTCGTAATACTTTGAGTAAAGAGAGGCACATCGACACGATAACGGTCATTTTGTGATGAGAATGAGTAAGAAAGACGAACAGAATCAAGATGGGAAAGAAAAGAAAAAGGATCTACCAGTGGCGCCATCTAATCAACCCTCACAACTGTATTTGAGCCAAGCATTACAGCAAACTGAGTCAAGAGATAGCACATCGATACAATAATGGCTATCCACTGGACGTTTCAGTTTTAGCTTTAGTAAGAGTTTTGCAGCACTTGCAAAACAATTTAATGAAACAAGTGACGAACACTCGAGGTGGCAGAGATAGAAACATACAAATAAATAGAGAACGACAGATGTTTGATGAGAAAGGAGCAAACCACACCAGAGCACCCACCAACCACCCACTCTTAAGCAAAAAAAGAAGTTAGGCAGTCAGAAACAACAGAAGAAAGGCAGAAAAACCTACGAGCGGTGCACTCCAACCACCCACGAGAATTAAAACGTATAATATGTAACTGCCGATGTTCCCATATTAACACGATTTAGACCATTTAGGAGGCGTGCTGCTTTAAGGACTATTGTTTGCCTAGAGAGAAGCATATCGCCGAAATGACGGTCCTTTGGCGGTGGGGCGGAGGGACATAGCAAGACAGACAACAAAACCAGAGGGAAAGAAAGGAATGAGAGAGAGAGAGACAGAGAGACAGAGAGAGAGAGAGTGTGTGTGTGTGTGTGTGTGTGTGTGTGTGTG